CCAAAACAAACCGCGTTTCGCAAGAATATCTTAACAGAGGTGGAGTGGAAGTCCCCGAGCAGGTTCTGTATTCCAATTTCCATCATATAGTTACGGTCATAGTTTGGAGTCGGCATGTTTAATTGTGGCTGAGATGTACACGTGGGAAGGTTCGCTTCGGCCAGCTGCGGCCGCTGATTGTCGCGCAATCTGGTCACTAGAGCGACATAGTGGGCGCTGCACATTGTTGCTGAAGTTTGCAATTGATTTACATGGGCTGACATGACCCCTCCGAGCTGCACAGCCTATCCGGGTGGACCTGTTTGCTGCGACGACGGTTGTCTCCGTAGGCCACCTGGGAGTGGCGGGCCATAGTCACGCCCCGGTGGTCAGGGCACGACGCGCACAGTAAGGCAGACGTAAGTACTACCAGAAGGTAAAGTAACCATGCAGCATAAAATAAGTGCAGTCCGGAGAGGATTAGCCCGCTTGAGAGAGGAGCCCAAGTATTGTGCGCACAGCCGAGCAGAACGAGCTAGTCAGCATCGACTGCGCTGCGCTGCGCATTGCCGCAGGCGCACATAGTCAGACCGTCTCAGAAATTGCTCCGTTCGCTTCAGGATAGAGAATCCGTCGAATAGAGCAACTATAGCAAGCGCTCATGAGACCGTCAAAAAAGAATCCGATGGATGGCGGGATTTTGCTCGTTTCGAGAAATTAGCCCCCAACAGGATTGTCAGAATAGCTCATCCACCCGTTAATTCGGTCCGCCTCGTATCAGATTAGGCAAGTAATGTTAGGATTTAGCATGAGAACCATACTGAGATTCCAGGGGCTCTGCTATAAATACCAGACTCAGGGAGTTGACATGGGTATAGCCAGCAAGAGGGTCAAAATCACAGCATCTGCACCATGAGACTCTCCGCTAGAGGCTTCGTTTGGTGTGCCCTTCTCGCATGCACTGCGTCAGACCTGAGTGAAGCTGCAGCAACTGCTAGCAACAGCAGTCAAACTCTGCGCACCTGTGTGTCCCGGGCGCTTGTTGCGGGCGATGTCAACACCCGCATCATAGACCCCAGCAATGACACCTACACGGACGCCCGTTTGGGCGAGAAGATCCAGTCTGTTATATCATTCCCTGCCTATTTTGGACACACACTAATGCGGCTATAGGTTCAATGAGTTCCCAGCGCTGATAGCATACGCAAAGAAAGTGGAAGAAGTGGCATCGCTCGTCCGCTGTGCTCAGAGATCGGGGTTCAAAGCCGTGCCTCGGTCAGGGGGTCACCAGTTAGTGGAACCCCCTCTGTCTACGTTCTTTGAATAATATGGCCCTGAGTTCTTGCTAACCAACAGCAGCTTTGAGGCATGGTCAGCTCTCAATGGAACTCTGGTCATTGATCTCAGTCATATTAACCATGTCAATGTTTCTGCCGATACCAGCACCGCCACTGTCGGAGCAGGCATTCGACAGGGCGCTCTGTACCTGGCGCTGGATGAGCACAACGTCACATTTCCGGGTGGAATCTGCCCAACCGTTGCGCTGGGTGGACTTGTGTCGTCCGGCGGGTTCAGCATGCAGATGCGTGCCCTTGGACTCGCTGCCGAATACGTGCAGTCCGCGCGTGTCGTTCTCGCTGACGGCAGCCTTGTGACAGCCTCGTCCAGCTCGCACGAAGACCTTTTCTGGGCGATTCGAGGTGGCGGGGGCGGAACGTATGGGATCATCGTGGACTTCGACCTGCAGTTAATGCAGTTCCCCACGTCAGCAATGGTAGCCATCTCCTGGAACGCCAGCAGTGACCGGTACCCGGTGGCGCAGCGATTCTTCGACTGGGCACCGGTGCAGATACCGGCATTTACTTCGCAGGTCAATGTGTACAAGAGTAGCATCAACTTCCTCGGCCAGTATCTGGGAGGTACCGAGAATGAACTCCGCGAGCTGATTAACGAGTCAGGGCTCCTAAATATCGGGACCCCAACCGTCTACATATCAGGGAACTGCGACACCGACAACTCCCGGCTCTTTGGCTATACGAGCTACGAATGCGTCCCGGCTAATGAAACGAACCGACAGATCATGAACGTGCTACCAGAGCCGTTCTCTCAATACAGCGACTACCCGCAATATCAGTACGAGAATGAGCCAGAAGACCCGTCCATTCCCATTGCTGAACCTTGGGCCCGCTTCAACCGTATCAGCAAATCATTCTTCATGCAGAAGGACAATATCCTTCCTGCAGCGGACCTGAAGACTGTCATCGATATGATGGGCCAGTTGGACACAGACTCCGAGATCTGGGGTGAGTGGCACGCATGGAACATCTCCAGCGCGACTAAAGCAGACTATGCATTTCCGTGGCGCGAACAAGCATATGCGCATCTAGAGTTCCAGGTACATGGCTCGTTGATGAACTCAACGAAGCAAGCGACCTATGAGAAATGGTTTGCAGATTTGGAGACTTATCTGCGGCCAAAGATTGGGTGAGTGGTTACACTGGTACACGTGCTTCACGCGTGAAAGTCTGAGGCTAATAATTGTCATCATCATCTAGGGTTGCATCGTACTCTGGAGAGATGGATGCTCACATCTCAACGAACCCGTTCGAGTCATATTACGGAGATAATGTCTGTCGACTAGTTGACGTCAAGAAGACTTACGACCCGGACAATTTCTTTACGAATCCCGATGCCATCACTCCAACCGTGCCGGAGGGGATTAGTTGCTAGAAGGATCGCTCGGCTGTGGAAGACTGTAGCAGCAGGGGTAAATTAGTGAGTTGTACAATGTTGTACAATTAATAGCCGAGGAATACATATGTACTAGCCAGTGTCGACAGTATACATTGTATAAGATGTGGGTCTCTTCTGATCATACATATTTCAAGGTTGGAGACAAAATGAAGATCAGACCTGAGCTAGAATAATTTTGGTGACTGACAACTAGATATCATGATGTTGTCTCGTTTTGTTTGTGATCCAAATGGGCAGATAGTAGGTGAAATCTACCATGTATTGGAGAGTTGATAGTATATACCCATTGCACGATACTACCTCTATTGGTTCTAGACCCTGGGCCACGTGCGTGAGCCTTTTATTGTAAGTTCTTCTAGCTTTCGAGTATAACTACAAGATAGAATCGATATATTTAGCCTAAATTTACTTTATATAAATAGCCAACTATCTAGGATTCAGAATGACACCTCCGATTAATAGTCCATCTTGAAACTTAGATCGGGTTCTGCTACCTGTAGAGAAGTAATCGCAAACAGCCTTGAGGGGACATATCAGCATAAATAAACCATAAAAATGCTGTATATTAGCATCTTGGATGGGCAAAATCTCAAGAGCAAGGGTATCAATTTTCGGGTATACTGTACAACATATGGCTAACTAACACTCGCGGTTGTGAATCAAGAATGCTTCACGTACAAATCTGAACCTTCAACTAAATGGCATGAACAAAACACTTGACACTAAAATTTGGCATAGGTTCTGCACTACTCCAAAACATAAAATTATTGGCACGCCCAAATTCAACGTGCTCCTCTCTGACTGGATGGTACTAGCTACGGTAATTGATCCCTCTGACAAAATCCTGATGCCAGCGCATCTCCTTCCGTCCCCAGACGGAGACTTTCTCATCCTCCGTCGCAAATATAAACCCAGTACCTCCATTTGACCTTGACAGAATTCTAATCTCTCCGTTCTCCATCTATTAATTAATTTCTCTTACTGTCATCTATTCCGTAATTCAGAAATCCTTCATCCTTCAGACACAACATCATGTCCAAGCCAACCATTGCCTTCCTCGGTGCCACGGGCGGCTGCATCAACGCCTGCCTCGCCCACACCCTGCAAACCGGCTATCACGCCGTCGCACTAGCCCGCACGCCACCCAAGCTCACGGCCATCCTTCGTACCCAGAACATCGACCAAGAGACACTGGATTCCCGACTCCGCATTGTGACAGGCGATGCGACCGACCCGGAGGCCGTGAAAAATACGCTTCTTCTGCAGCCTGGCTTTCCTACTGATCCTACGACATCAGCATCCTTACCAACACCAACCCTGGTATCCCATATTATCTCAGGAATCGGCGCCACAGGCAACTTCCGTGGCTGGTGCTTCGAATTTGACCAGCCGCATATCTGCGAAGAAGCCACACGGGCACTCCTAACTGCACTGCGAAACATTTACGCCACGTATCCGGAGTTCATGCTGCCTGTAAATAGGAAATCCAGACCGCTCCTCACTGTCCTCTCTGGCATGGGCGTCGACCCGAGCCAGAAACAAATGGATGTGCCGTTCTTGTTGCGCCGGGTATATCATGGACTACTGCATGTGCCACATGCGGATAAGTGGGTGATGGAGGAGATGCTAGCAAAAAAAGAAACAAGAGAGTTATTTCAGGGTATAATTATAGTAAGACCAGGGAGTTTGTTGACCGGGGACCATATGCTAGATTCTGGATATGGGTATGAGAAGGTCTGTGTGGGGACAGAGAGGGAGGAGCCTTCCGTGGGATGGACTATACCGAGGGCGGATGTGGGCGAGTGGGTGTTTCGTGAGGTGGTGGTCATGGGGGGTGGGAGGTGGGTGGATGAGAAGGTGACATTGACTTGTTGGTAGAGTTGTTTGTTTGTTTTGGGAGATATAGTGAGTTGTAGGCGTTAAGTGAGTGAGTTTTGGGTTACTGCTCATGGATGGTTCTTAGCAAGTATGAGAAGTATGAGAGGGTAATTTAGTGTGGTACGAGAATTTAATGTTATTCTGTTATGGTACACGAAAATGTAGGAATGAGTGACTTCCTTATGTTTGTTTGCGCAATAACTTGTAGACTTGTGAAAAGCGTAACATGTAATTCTAAAAGGACTTCTTGCAGTGCGTCTATAAATCTCCATCGTTGAACAGCATTCGCAAATTGTCTGTCCAGACCCCATTCCAGTAAGCGACAGTGCAGATTATAAGAAGAAAAAAAATAAAAAAAGACAAAGAACATCCCATAGAAACAATGAAATCTAGCAAGACTCTAGGATCTGTCTAAGCATGCTGGTCACCTCCTCCACGTGTTCCTCATCGAATAAACTATCGTGCCGTGCGTCGATCAACAGCGTGCGAAATCGATCGAAGTTCTGCGGCCTCCACTGCAGGGTGGGGTGCAGAGCACATCTTCGGATGCACCGTTGCCGGGCAGAAAATAGCGCGGGAACAGTCTCAGACAATTCTGTACATTTGACTAAAGTCACACTGGTATGACAGACGCTGTTTGGCGGTAGCAGCTTGCCGGGCTCGGTGCTAGCAATGGAGAGAGTGCTGGCATGAATGTGGCGGCGCATTGTTGAAAACAGACGATGCAGGTTGTCATCCTCCTCCTCATCACTCATAGTACTCCCGTCGTCGCTGGCCTCCGAGGCATCTGATCGGTTGTCTACATCATCGCTATTGTCTGCAAGATCTGCCATTCCCATCGCTTGACAGACGTTTGTGAACAATCCGTCTGCGATGATGCGGTGCTCTTCCTCATTAACGAACGCCGGATATTTCTCTGGGTTGATGGAGTCCAAGAGAATGACTTGCTGGACGGTCTCCTTCTCGGCTTGCAGGATCTCCGCCATCTTGACAGCGATCATCCCGCCCATGGACCAGCCCCCTAGGAGATAAGGGCCATGTGGCCGGAGCTCCAACTGTAAACGTTCGACATACTCCTTGGCTATCTCTTCTAAAGAGGGTGGTAGAGTATAACGACTCACACTGTAAACTGGTGATGAGATTCCATAGACTGGTCGGGACCTGGCCGGGTCACTTGTGTTGCTGAGGTTGCCAAGCGCCATATAAGGCCATGCCAGGCCGGACACTGCATGAATGAAGATCAACGGGGCTAACGACGAATGAGCATCGCCCTGGATATGCAAAATAGGTTCCATAGTTAAAGGAGGCTTTTGGCTTTCTTCCTCTTTATCTTTCTTCTGTTGTCAATGATTCTGATCGCAGAAGATGTGCACAAGATGAAGACCGCCCCGAGTCATCTATGGACGCTGAAAGATGGAAGAGATCTGACAACCAAGGAGTGTGTATTATCCAATTCCAGTTTCATGTTTTGCCTCCGTCTGATAGTTCCACCAAGGATACTGTCATTTTGTATCCGTAGTTAGACGGAGACAAATTGACAAGGACACCCTTGGGGGCCAAGTTCAGACATACTTCCAGCCGCACGCATGGTTGTATACCTTGTTGCTACGTGAGCGTACGCCAGATTATCGACCTATTTTAGGACCTGCTCCCACGTGGAGATTCTGCAGCAAAAGCAGGAAACAAGGATCAGAAATTCGTCATCATCGTTTCTCCTTAGCAATCGGCCAGGATGTTTCCCTGCTCTCGTATTTGGTCTCTGCTCGTTGCAGCCGCCACCGCTAGTGCAGTACCCACCAGTCTGGCCACCACGCACCTGCAATCGGTTGACTTGCTTCTGACTCGCAGTTCTTACGGGTTCCTTACTGACATAGCCCTTGGAACTCCGGGTCAGAGCCTGCCGTATCTGGTTGACTGGACCTGGACCGGCCACTATGTGGTGACCACCTTGTGCTACAACGATCCCACCGCCACCTACGATTGTCTCAACGTCGGTCAGAAAATTTTCAACCAGACTTTGTCATCCACTTTTATCAACCAGACTGACCAGTATGGCTATCTTTACTGGGATCCCAACCACTTCTACTTTACGGAGCCCGCAGCAGCCGATGTGGCAACAGACATGCTGCGCATCGGTCCCACCGCGGTGAACACCACCATCCAAGCAGCCAATTTCGTCTTCAACGAGACTATTAGCGCATTCCCTTTCTCGGGAGTATACGGACTCTCCCCTGTTTTTCAGAGTGATAATCGTGAGTTGTTTCTCCACCGTCATAAAACTAAGTCATGTTAACACGGATCCTAGGATCCGTGCAAGCGTCCTTCTACCAAGGATGGAGGAGCGGCGCCTGGCACTCTCCAATTGTCTCCTTTATCTACTGCCACGACAATACCACCAAAGCGGTATGCAGTGGTTACGACGGCATTCAGACACTAGGCGGATACAACACCTCTCACGTCCACGGGGATATCACCTGGTACGACATCATTGTCACGGAGGCGATCAACACGCTGGACTTTGTCTATGCGCCAGCCGTGATTAATTATTGGGCGTTGAACCTCACGCGCTTCTCTATCGGAGACGAAGAGCAAGAGCTCAACAAGACTACTACTCTGGATGGAAAGCAAGCCGCCGTTGCTGCGTTCGATCACGCTTCGTATGGTCGCGGTGCCCCAGTGTCTGTGTACGGTTACCAGCGTCTAGTCGAGCTGGTCGGGGCAAAGGCCGTCACGCTTTCCGATCCTCCAAACAACGGTGAGCAGGGTTTCTATCAGTTTGATTGCCGGAACTCGAGTTTACTCCCACCGCTGCGGTATGAGTTTGCCGGGTCAGAGCGGGCGTGGGAGATTGTGCCCGAGAACTATGTGGAGGTGCTGGCGAACGGAACCAATAAGTGCACCTTTAATGTACGCACCCTGGGAGATGGAGCGATGGTAATGGGAAACTTTGGTGAGACATTTGCCATTGACAAGTATGTCCTGTTTGACTTTGAAAAGTTGCAGGTGGGAATTGCAGACTTCGCGTGGTAATGGTATAAGGATGTGTGTTTGAACATTTTTATGTGCATTATCTCGAGTTTGACTGAATAGACGGAGAATCCAAGACCGTAGATCATGATGCTACCTGCTTGATTATTTTCAATGTCTCTAGTATGTGGAACGTAACACATGTGATAATATCTCCAAATTAGTAATAAAAAGAGAAGAGTAATTTCCACCAGTTATTGATACTGCACATAGCGCTGTTCTACGTTGAGGCAACCTCTATAATGATAAGTTAGTGGATATATGGAATATTAGAGGTCATCTTAATACCATACTTACCATACTAGTAGATACAACCGTCCGTACATACGGAATAGGAAGGAGGAGCGAGATGGTCATCATTTGACACTGAGCATACTGTGTTGGCCGAGTCAAGCTGTTGTATGGGGGAGCTCCCTAGTGTGTGCCTGTCCAAGGCTCCAGCATCTTCACCTTCCGCGACGACTTTACTTAGTTGACATTAGGTGAGCCTTTCTGTCACATAATTGATTGAAAGCCGTTACCCAGTTTTCTTAGTATGATAGAGGTTACTCAGCGAACGTACTAATAAGGAAGCTAGCCATAACGACGAGGATTGATTGGAACAACCAAGTCTGGGTAGCACGAACTGACCCGGAGAATAAACCATCACCCACGTAGTGTCAAGCTCATATCCAAAATGGTACGACATGGACTCTGCAGAACTCGGCTGCCTGATGTTCAGGGGAGCTCACGGGATCGGAGGGATCAAGGCATAACTCCGCATTGATTGTTCGGAACATTTTCCTAATATGGGAGGCAGTGAGGTGAGACTGTCACTTGAAGGCATCAACCAAACGGAACGCATATACCAAGCCAGACTCACCAAGAGCATTATATCATTCAATTTCCGTCCACAGACGGATCATTTCTGACTCCCAACAGAACAGGATAATATGCTCGTATGTGACTAATCTCGCCCCCAGACTGACTGAACTGTAGCTCTACTATTAAATTCAACCGATAATCTCATTCTTTCATCACTAGTAGCTTGTCGCCTCAACTACACAAAGTGGATCCATCCTCATTTCGACATCGGCTCTTGATCCCCCCACCAACCCAGATCCTGCTTCCCTTCCTTCTACAATCGAACCCTTGCAACCCTCGTGTTTTTGCACATGAACCCGAACCAACCACACGCCAGCATGTCCACCCAAGTGCTCATAGTGGGTGGGGGCATTGGAGGCCTGACGCTAGCAGCCATGTGTCGAAGGATTGGCGTGTCTTGTCGGGTGCTAGAGCGAAGCGCTGTTCTTGAACCGGTGGGTGCCGGCATTTCACTGGCTCCGAATGCCCTACGGGCTCTGGATCAGATCGGACTGTACGACTACGTGCGCCAGGAAGGCCAGCCGGTCCGCAAGATCCGTGTCTACCGGAATCAGACACAGTGGAGTGAGATTGACTTCCAGTGGCTAGAACGTACTTTTGGCTATCCCGTGTACTCGATCGAACGGCATGGTTTCCATCGGCGACTGTATGAAGCTGCGGGGGGTTCCGAGACGGTCATCTTGGGGGCAGAAGTTGCCAAGGTGATCCCTCCGCAGGAGGAGGCTGAAGGGGTATCGGTGGTCCTGAAGGATGGGAGGCGATACACGGGAAATGTGCTAGTGGGTGCTGATGGGGTGCGGTCAGTTGTGCGCCGGGCGCTCATGGCCACCATCAATTCCCGTCCCGGACAAAGTGGAGCAGTTGGAGAAGACGAAGATGCAGCCGATGTCATTCAATTCACGGGCCGAGTGCATCTGTCTGGCTACACTCACCCACTCGATCACCTTGGCCCCGCGGACGAAGGGATCGCTCATTGGATGCTGTATGATCGCTCAATTCTCACAACGTGGCCGTGCAGGGACCATCGTCAGTGGTTCGTTGGGGCAGTGGTAGGGATCAAAATTATTGAAAAATTGCTCTCACGTCAGCTAAACTGTGCCTCTAGCCCTCTAAGCTCAAGGACCCGAATCGCTCCGTCTGGAAACATGCCGATCACAACACTATCAATCAAGTCTATGGTTCCGAATATCACCCCTTTGCCCCGGATTTTCACTTCCGTGACGGTGAGGACATTTATTATCAGCATCCTGCCAGAATGACATGCTGACTACGATGATTGGATCCTTCTAGTCGTCAAACACGCGGAACGTGTCGTTGCCAGCGATGTCTTCCACCAGACCATCTTTCCCCCGATGGCGGCCGGTCGCATTGCTATGCTGGGCGACGGTAAGTAGCGACATACCCACACTGCTTGCTTACAAGTCATTCAGGATGGCTTTGTCCCACTAATGCAATAAGCAGCTTCTCATGCTATGACTTCGTTCTTCGGCCAGGTAAGCCAGCCAAACGGGACCTTTTTTCTAAATCAAAAAAAGAGAATCACGTTCCCTGCAAATCTGGCGCTGACAGGAACCATCTCCCTGTTCTTCGCTTGCCCTTGCTGTGTTGGACGCGTTTTCTTTCTCGACCTTGTTGTTTGTTTATTTCTCATGTTCTGAAAATATCTTCGATTACTTGCCTTTTAACTTTCTTTTTCTTTTCTCTTCCTTTTCCCTTCTCTGTCTGGTTCCACTTTCTGACACCGAGAATAGGGCGCCTGCCAGGCCATCGAAGACGCGACGGAGCTGGCCAGTGCGTTGGGGATGATCGATGTCAGGCCCACTGACGCGGAGACAATCCTTCAAGGCTACCATCATAGCCGGGAGCGCCGGGGCCGCGATTTAGTCGTATTGTCGGATCGATTTGCCTTGCTGCATACCGGACGCCTGTTGGGAAGCTGGGGTCCCTTTGTCCGGCAAATGGTATACACCTGGATGCCTCTCTGGGGTTGGAAGTGGGCCTTGCAGTGGCTGTATGGCCATCAGCCGACTCTCGTGGAGCAGCGGAATGAGGCCGTAAAGAAGACTGCCTGAGAGATGCGTCTTGTCCAATGGAGTTGTATTTAGCCGAAACTGGGCAGGATTCTGCCCTGCAAGCGATGGTGGTATTGCCCATGTCTATAGAAGAGACTAACGCACACGAGCAGACGAATCAGAATTAGAATCACATATTGTGTGCCCTGTGTACCAGAATCCCTCTTAATAAGGAATAAGCAATGGGGCGGGATAACATCCTTTTGAATCAGAACTAACTAGTAGTGATGGAGTAATAGTACCGTAGGGTAGTCAAGGTTCCTTGCTGTGCCAGTGAGCATTAATCTCGATTACTCAGGGATGAAGTCAGCATGGATCACCCGCATGACGCTAGCAATCCTTTGCTGTCTCACTTCCTCAACTCCTCTCATCAGCATCATCATAGTCATCAACGCCTCTCCACCACGTGGACTACATTTATCTCCGCTAGGTATGCTGGTTAGCTCGTGGAATGAACTCCGATCTCAGATTTTGGAGCCCCGTGTTCAACTGTAGTAAACACATGCTCCCTTTATTTCTTTACTATGGCCAAGAAAGCTGAGTTACGGCGGAGCTGCACCTTCTGTCGCACCCGCAAGATCGCCTGCTCCGGCGAGCGCATCTGCAATGCTTGTCGTTCCCGGTCGATTGAATGTGTTTATGATCTGGAGATCGCCAAAGGTCGACCTCGCCTGAACAAGACGACATCCACTCGGGCCTCCATACCGGCCGGACCGGCTGGGCCCAGTCCTATCACTCTGGAAGACGGAGAGCCGGGAGACGCGGGTCACTCCATCACGTCGGCGCTTAACCCCAGCATCACTCCTCTCACCGGAGTGATGGCAGAGCTGGAGGTGATGTTTCGCGAAAATTTCGGTGAGGACCCCATGGCAGCCCCATCGAATCAATTTCAGGACCGAGTGGCTCGCTTCAATCGAAATTTAGCGGCCGGAAGAGCCAGCCAGGGTCCATCCACGCCGGCAGGCAGTCTCAGTTACCCCGGATTTTTGGCCCTATTGATGCAGGATCTTGCTGAGACAGTCACCGGTAAATTCGGTGACCTGGGCTGTCATCCCTTCTTTGGACCTGGGGAGCGCTTCTATCGCGCCTGCATGCTTCAGGACACCACGAAAACCATGTTCGATACTGCGTGTCTCCCATCACCTTCTACTTCTACGCCATCGGGTGGTGAAGCGGACATCTTGGCCGACTACAACTCACATCTGATCACTCAGCATCTCGAGGTCTGGATGAGTAACCATCCCTTATCGATTATCATTTCTAAGTCCCTGCTGCTCCGCGATCTGCGTAGCCAAACAGCCAATCAGGTATTGTTGGCGGTCATGCTGGCAGACGCTCATCACTTTGCCGATAACTCAGCCAAGGGGGATCGCCTGCTGCAGTGGGCCGTCTCCCAACTCTCGAACATTCCTGCGGGCCAGGAAGATCTCACTACCGCGCAGATTACCCTGTTACTGGGCTGGTTTCATGTCTGCCGCGGACACTCCCGCCGGGCATTGTGCTATGTGGGCTACGCCGGTCGCATCACGACCAAGCTGGCCAGCCAGCTGCATGAATCGCCTCTGACTGGTCAGACGCACATAAATGGCATCGATCGGGGCGCTGTTGAAGCAGAGATGATCCACCATATGTACTGGGTAATGTTGGCCCTTACTGTATGGTCTTTTATCCAGATGGACATGCCTCTAGCGGATCTCCTCCCCGCGCAGCTGTTGCAGATCCTCCCTGCAAGAGCAACGCCCGATTCCACGCTGCTGCAACTGGATCGCGCGACGGATAATCTATCTACTCTCAAGCCCCAACTCTCTTCATTACAGTCAGTTTGGCTCTTGTCACACGTAACCGTTCTCAGCGCCCATCTGTACGCTCTGTATCCCCAACACCTTCGCAGTCCTCCGGAGCCGCAACCATGGCAAGATCTAATGCTACATCGGCTCAACCGTCTCCTGCGACAGGGACGTAGTCTGACACAGATTTGCTCTGATTCTCGAACCGCTCTCCTGGACATTATCTTGGTGCTGCAGAAGGAGTCGGCCCATGGCCGCGGGGAACCTACCCTGCTCGCCTTGTACCTGGCCGTATCGATACACCTTCTCTTCCCGCGCGATGAGACCGGCCATCATGTCCACAACTCTCAGACCTTTGTTCTGAGCGATACGCTCTTTCAACAATTGATCGCTTCCATACAGGATTTGAAGCAGCTCTTTCCAGCCATCAGCTCCGTCTCGCGGCATGACTCGGCCCAGCCAGCCGGCACGGGTTCTGCCGGATTGCATTTTTACCTTCTCGCCTTGGACGCCCTCGGTCGGGCTCTCATGTACGTACTCACTGTCTGGGACCGTGTCACGGCGGTAGAGCAGCGGGTCTGGCAGGATCGACTTCGCGGATTGTTGGACGGGGGCCTTGCGATGCATGACCTGTTCGAATATGATGCTCTGTTACAAGATCACCGATGGCGCTCAGTGAAAAAGCACCTGAAGACCGCATGCAAGGGAATCAAAGGAGTGCTTTCCGGCAGCCGGGACCAGGGCTCTCGCAGCTCCTCGTCTTCTGTCTCCTCTCTGGACCTGTCCTTCGCGTTACCGTCGCGGCCAACACCGGCGATGGGCATCCCCACCAGCGAGGAGGGCCGCAGCGAGATGATGTTCCCCGCGATGCCCTCTGCCAGCGGCATACCCTCATCCATCTCGTCGTCAATCTCGCACATCTCCCGCGAAGTTGGCCTTGGCTGGCCAGGGGACGGGCAAATACTCCCGACCCGGGAACAAGGACCACGAGAGAGCTCGCATCCCGCAGCGTCGGATTTGTCTGACTTCGACCTTGCACCCTTCGTGTCTTTGGGATCGGTCGATTCAATGCAAAATGGGGACGAACGATCTCGGATGATGCAGCAATTTTCTCCCAACCCGATGTCACTGCCTTCATTCTGGCACGACCCACAATTCAGCCCGGCGCACCACTTGGTGGGCACGATGCCCCCGCCGTCATTGATCTCGCTCGCAGACCTGGGAATGGGTGAGCGGGGGCAGAAGCGCTCATCGGAGAAGTTGAGTGGTTTAAGCGAGGGGGATACGCCAGGGACGAGTGCAGATGGGGGGACAAAGAGGCGAATGAAGGGGATGTCAAACTGATACACTATAGTAGGCTTATTTCGTATATGGTCTGAAGTTGCTTGAGGGTCAAACATTCATTCTTTCTTCGCCAAAAGACGTTGATGCCCGTCGATTAGACGACACGATTCATCATCTTCATACTTGAGCATCTATTCCCAGAACACAAAACTAGAAGTTTTTCACCTCAACACAAAAAATGAAATCAATTAAATCACTATCTATCCCTCTATGCAACCACCAACTCCACAACCCCCGTATCCGACTCCTTATCCCGAAACACCCCATTCACTTTCCACCCCGTCCGCTGCGCAAGTTCCCCAAGCATGCTCTCGCTGCGCCTCTTGCCCCCAAAGTTCAACATCCACAGATCCAGCGCTGCAACCGCCAAGCTGGGCTCCTCCTGGAGAATCTGCTCCGAGATCAGAACTCGCGAGTCCGGGGCCGCGGCGTCCCTGATATGACGGAGAATCGTCACGCAGTCCTTATCGGGCCAGTCGTTCAGGACTCGCCGGATGTGGTATACTGCTGCACCCTTGATGGGTTGCTCGGAAAAAAAGCTGCCGGAAATTTTGCGCACTGTGCGCCAGGTCTCGTTATCGTCCCTTTCTGCCTCTGCAACAGCCTCGCGGATAACGTCCTCCACGTCGAACAGCACACACTGTTCCGGACGAATCCCCGGGTACGCGCCCAGAATCTCCTTCAACGCCTGGCCCTTTCCACCACCCACATCCACTATCGCCATGCGCTCCTCATCAGCGAGCTTCTCTATCCAAGAGAAATCATACATTCCCAACACCGGCATTGGCTGAAACGACGCCGCCATCGTAGCATTGAACTGAGCCGCCCGCTTCGGCATCGTCTCCAATATCTCATAAAGCGTCTTATCGGGATACCCCGCCGCATAGCCGAAAGGTGTCCGGCTGGCGCTGGTCGGCTCGTTCAAGCCGTGTTCTGCCATGTAACCGGGCCATTTCACAGCGGGGACCAGGAAGAAATCGAAGATGTGTGCGAAAAACAGTGCTTGGTAGCTGGTTGGGTCGGTGAATTGGAGGGATTTCGGGGTGTGAGCAATGTGACCGGGTTGAGGGGAGGACAGGACGCCGGAGGCGATGAGGAAGTTGGTTAGGCGGGTGAGGAGGGATGGAGAGGCGTTAAGGGTGGTTGTTAGGGTGGTTACGGGGATGGAGGCCCCTGGAGTGGTGGGGATTAGAGTGAAGATTTTGTGGTCGAGGAAGAGTTTCATTATGCTCATTTCGACCATGGAAAAGTAGTAGGTGTGGAGGGGGGAGGACTCGGGGTTGGTGGTGGACGGGGACATCTTGGTTGTGGTTGTTGTTGTTCTTCTTGTGGTGGTGGTGTTGATTGATTGATTGTGAGATTGTATGGGACAGGACATTGTGTGATATGGGTTGTGTTTTATGATAGTTGGTGTGCTTGGTGTGAGATTATATTCGGTTGAGTTGAGCGTATACAACACTTGGACTGTACAATGGGGGCTGCATATACTGGGGGCGAGGAAAACCTCCGTCTCCCGACGGAGAGAGGCATTCACTCTGATTTGTGAAGACCTTTGGGTGGCATTGCCGGGTTAGTAGATGCAAGGGAGACATTTCACATAGTGTTGACTGAACTAAGCTTCTGTTTTAATATAATCGCCCTTTGGAAGGGATTATTATTTCAGTAAATGTTTGGGAGTTGTTGCGTAACTACTTCCATCGCTACGATATACATGATCTAATGGACACGAAATCAATTCAACTGTCTACTACCAACTACTTACGTACCAGATGCAACGCGAGGACATAAAAAAAGGTATCACTATTATTGTCCACACATATTCGCGTCGCGAAATTTAGTTATCCTGCTGGGAGCCAAAGTTGAAGTCTACTATGGTACATTTTCCGTAGACATTGAATGTTGTGGCATAGCTGAACCAAACGTGTATTGTACTATTTATGCCCTTGTCTACCCGTCTTTTAGTCTTAAGGCGCTGTATACCGTGATTCAGCTGC